AGGTGTCCCTTCCTGTGGCAGGGGGTTGGAACTGGATGAGCTTTAAGGTCCTTTCCAGCCTGAATGTGCTCCAACTGTAAGAAGACTTTCCTTCACTGCTTCAGACGACGCATCACCTGTGTTTCAACACTTAAAACCATGTGCCCAGGTCCAAAGACAGCACTTTTCTGTGCATATCTCCTGTGGGACAAGGAGAAAAGGAAAACACTGCAACTACTGCTAGAGGTTGTAAACTACCGCTTGCTAGAGGTGGCAAACACAGAGGCTTAAGGTGGCAGAAGAGGAAGCAGAAGAACTGACATATGTCCTGGCAAGGAATGCCACACTGCATCCTTGGCATTCATGAAGGAATGCAACAGGAAACAAACTTGCAGAGAAACAGTCTGGGAGCTTGCAGAAGCTTCTTGTAGTAAGAATAAAGCCAAGACAGGAAGCAGAAAGGCTATATGACAAAACACTGAAGAGCACACACACATAGAACCCAGTTCTATGGGTATTTTCCCAGGCAGAGTATATGGAGCCCATCAAGTGAAATACCTTTAACAAATCAACCCACACAATGAGGCTACACCACATAATGCTGATGGTAAGAAGCTAACAGGCTGCAGGACGACAGGACATTTAGGTGAGTTATAAAGCATCCACAAGTGATACCAGGCAAATCATTTACTCAAACAGCAAAGTACATTAAGCCAGCTGGATTGGTAAGGTTCAGAGGATTTGATCCCTGTCTTCCTCCTCCTCTTCTAGCCTCTGGCTGGCAGTACAAGCCTGCTAGAAAAGTGCCATTAATAAAATAACATGGGGGTTTTTAATTCCTAGGAGCATTTTTTCTATATCAGGTAACACCCGTACCCCCTCTGGTTAGGCATACTGTCTCATATTCAGATCATCATTCACCTGCAAGTTTTAGAAGTTCAGCATTTCTTTCAACTTCTGCAAATTCTCAGCAGCAAGGTACACAACACAGGGGGACACAGTTACTATCTGGAGGACCTCTGCCTCCCTTCCACGTAACTTTCCCTGCTGAATACAGGGCACATAAACAAGTCAGGTTTAGCCACACAAATCCAGCACAGCACTCATTTGAGAGGAAAATCGGCTGTACAAGGCTGCAACTCAAAGGTTAAATGAAGATAGCATGGCTTGGCTGCTCCCCGAAATACACAGGGCCCAACTAAGCCTCTTTTGGTTTGGACTTAGTTACACTTTGGATACTGTGGTCAGAAACAACCATGTTTCCTTTCAAAACTGACCCAATACCTTAAATTTACACCTATCCTACAACTTCACTAGACAAATACCAATCTTTAAAGGACTATTTATTAAGGAGTCTCAAGAGCCAGTTTCTCCCCAAGAACCCATCAATTCCCTGCAGTTATATCTCACCCACATCATGAGCTCTCAGCAATTACCACCATTACTGCAAGCAAAGCCTCAAAGCACAGACATCAGGTTTCTATTCTGCTTGAAGGTGACATTTGCTTTCTTGAAGGTATTTAAACACCTGACTACAGAGCCTTCCAGCTGAATGAAGGGTGATGAATTTAACCACAAAGCCATAAAAAAAACATTGTTTTGGCCAGGCTTTGTGGTCCCCTGCTCACCTTCAGCAGCTTGATCTCCCTCACAGTGATCTTCCTCACCACTGGTCATCCTTGCTTTCCAGGAACTTCTTGATGGCAACGATCTGCCCGCTCTCTTTGTTTCTGTACTTGGCCAGCCCTGTAGCTGCCTTCCCCCACAAGGCCCAGCACTTGGTACTTCTCCATGGACGTGGATTTTCTTCCCCCAGGATTCCAGAAGCTCCACTGGTGGAACGGACCGCGGCCTCCTGCCCTGTCACAAGGGTGACAGCCTGCCTGTTGCAACAGCTGTGCTGTGCTGTACAGCATGCCTCAGCAGGCTGCTCCGAGGGATGGCGGGGTCCTGAGGTAGCGCTGCTGCCGTTTTGGATTGATTTATTATTTGCTGAAGGGCTCACCTCCTTTGTGTGTGTGTCCGTGCAACCCCCAGTGGGGTGACATCAAACCTCCTCCTGATGGCAGATGCCAGCAGGTATCTTGTGCTTTTCTTATACGGTAACTTTGGTGGAGAAGCTCAGTGGCTCTTCTCAGCGGATCTTCTCAGCAAAGCTGACTGGTAAGGTATGGATGTCACCTAGAGCAGATTCCTTAGCTATTAATAAATCCTCAACATATCATATCCAAATAGATCTGTTGGTTTTAAACATAGCCTCCTGCGAATTCACTAGAAGTTTAGAAAACTAGTTGTAGGATGCAGTGAAGCCCTGAGAGAGCTTTGTCTATATTAGCTGCATCTTTCCCTAAGTAATTAAAAAATAAGGTATTAAGAGCCCAGGTGAACAGGTCTACTGATTTAAGGTGACCAGGGACTGTAGCAATAGGAGAAGGGGTGATGGGTTCAAACTTAAACAGGGGAAGTTCAGGTTACATACAAGGAATAAGTTATTTACTGTGAGGGTGGTGAGGTACTGACACAGGCTGCCCAAAGAAGTGGTGAATGCCCCATCCCTATCAGTGTTCAAGGCCAGGTTGGATGGAGCCCTGGGTGACATGGTCTAGTGTGAGGTGCTCCTGCCCATGGCAGGGGCTTGGAACTGGGTGATCTTAAGGTCCTTACCAACCCAACCAGTCTGTGATTCTATCAAGAAAAAAACCATAATAATAATGATGTGTCTATTAGACATCTAATCTAGTTATCTAATTATGTCCATTAATTAAAAGACCATATCCTCAAGGCATCTTGTATTTAGTAGGGACTGGGCTGCAAAATTTGGGAAGCTCTCAGGCCATGAAGGGCATCCCCCTTCTCGATAATCTGGCTCGCCATGGTAATTCCATGGGTCTCCTGTTCCTCAGATCCCACCGCTCCCTAAATGTCCTCCTCTGATGTCACCTTGAAGGACTCAGGCTGGCGGCCCACATTTCACAATCTCTGACCCCTTGAAGAAAAGGTCTCCATTTGCTCTGAAGATACACATGAACGCTCAGCAGGTCTGGCTGCTGCAGTATTTCTCTTTGGGAAAGGCGCATCACCCTTGCCAAAATACCAATTCCCTGGAAAATATCCTCATGAGGCATCATATGCCAATAATACTTTCTGAAATCTTTATCATATTTCTCTTGAGTTACATGGGTATGTGTCACCTTCCATCATCTCTTTCTGGCTGTTATTTCTCCTTCACCCTCATTCCCACTCCTATGTCATCAGTGTAATGCACAATGCATTTTCGGAAAAAAAAAAACAAAAGAAACAATAAATCTGGGCCCAGTTGGCATTATTTTATTGTATTCTTCCCCCCTTCTACTGCTCACCGTTACTGTAGTGAGTAATGCTGGTTTCTATCATCAGCAACACGACAATCATTTCCTTTGGCTATTGGTTGCCCTGGGGGTTTCTTCTTTGTGCCCTTTACTTTTATATCCATAACATCACTGTTAATTGATGATGATGGGTGTTGGTGTAGTGTATCAATTTAAACCACAGAGATTGGAGGTGGTGAAGGAGGGAGGTGTCTCACTAAACCATACAGTACCCATGCTCCAGACATGTTTGCCATCCTGTTGGTATCTCTATGGCACTGATCAAGCCTTGGTAACTTGAGAAAACCCCTTTTTTTTTCTCATAACATGATGTCGTGCTGTACCTCTCAGAAACATTCATCTGGACAATGTCCAACACGGTCTCAGTTCTAATTTCATTTTTCTATTTTCTTTGCTAGACATCACGGTCTCTGCCAGAATCCTCCATAGAATCAACCAGGTCAGAAAACACCTTTAAGATCATCAAGTCCAACCATTACATCAAGCATTGCAAAGGTCACCACAAAACCATGTCACTGAGGGTCTCATTTACATGGCTTGTGAACACTTCCAGGGACGGTGATTCTACCACTGCCCTGGGCAGCCTGTTCCAATGTCTGACCACCCGCTCAGTGAAGAAATAGTTCCTAAAGTCCAGTCTAAACCTCCCCTGGCACAGCTTGAGACCGTTTCCTCTTGTCCTGTCATGTGTTACTTAGAAGAGATCATCATAGTTAAGCCTCAGGAAGACAAATACTGACAGCCCCTGCTGTTGAAATACTGGGTTTTAGATGAGCCACACAACCAGTTCATATTTTTGATAACTAAGAATCACACCATTTAGAGAAGTTAGAGATGAAGTAATCTGGTGCCCTGAGTGATCTTTTAGGGCTGACATTACAATGGTGAGCTTGGTTTTTTGTTGTTGGTGTTTTTTTTTTAATTAGGGAACTTTTTTCACATACAACCTGAGTGAATATATGACAAAATACAAATGTCACCACATTCTCTATTTCTCTTCACCTCACAAAGCAGAGGGGAATCACAGAATGGTTTGGGTTGGCAAGGACCTTAAGATCATACAGTTCCAACCCCCTGCCATGGGCAGGGACACCTCACACTAGATCATGGCACCCAAGGCTCTGTCCAGCCTGGCCTTGAACACTGACATGGATGCGGCATTTACCACTTCTTTCGGCAGCCTGTGCCAGTGCCTCAGCACCCTCACAGTAAAGAGCTTAAATTTAAAAGTAAAACCAACACCTGTGGCATACAGCAGCGATAAGACAGTTGATCTCGAGATACTACTGCCTTCTTTTTAAGGCGGTTTTGTGGTAAAACACCTCACTTTCTTTCCTTCCCACCTGACAGCCTCCCTCTGTTCACTCAATACCATCCCAGCTACCTCACACCAGCCAAGACAATTCAATCCTTCCTCCCTCTCTTGTTACGTGAATTCCTGGAAGATAAATAAATACCTTCAGCGGCGTTTCTTAAGAAAATGAGCCTTTTAACGCCTGGTCCGGGGGAGGTGATGTGCCACTTACTTTCCGCTCTGGGTGAGGCGGACCGGGCTGTTCCTCTCAGGGTAAGGCGGAGCAGAGCAGAGCGGAGCAGGGCTGGGCGGGGCCAGCACTCGGGCATGCGGTGTTCGCCGCTGCGCTGGGGGAGTTTCCGCCCGCCACTCGGCCTTGTGTGTATGATGGTGGGTCTGAACTAAGTGCGCCTGAGGGGAGTAGGAGGAACCGGTGGGGAGCTCAGGATGCGATGGGGAACTGCTGGGCGCAGTGGTGCTGCGGGCTGTTCTTCCGGAGGGACGCCGGCCGGCTCCAGCGCAGCGGAGGGTAAGCACCATCCCAGCAGCCCCACCCCCTGCCCTCCCCGGGCCGGGGAGGTATTGAGGCCGTTTGGCCCCGCCTTCGAAGCGGCCGGTGTCGGGGCCGACCCGGATGGGAGAGGGGTGGAACCGTCGCTGTGGTATCCCGGACGGGTGGAATGGCAGAGGAAGGCGGCTCGGCTCCGGGCGGGTGTTTAGCAGCTGCCTGCGGAGAGAGCCCTGCCCCTGTTCCTCTTGCCGGGTGGGTTTTTCCCGGAAGCAGCGTAAAGAGGTTGTACGGGTCGGTTGCTGAAATCCATGCATGCTGCTGTGGTTGTGGGAAGGTAGAAACCCCCTGCGTTTCCTGGAGTATGATGCTCTGTTCCCTGTGAGTGAGGGGCTGAGCGGTACTGAAGCTCAGGAGCAGCCTGATTCCAACAAACTGGCTTTTATCTTGGAAATGTGGGGTCCACGTTTTCTTCTGTGTAACCAGTTCGTGGAAGAGCAGTGTACAACGGGAAGGGCACGTTACCTGAACAAGAACTTGGCTTTCTTCCATATAATAATCTGTATTCAGTAGTTATAGATCCCTTGCTTTTGATAATAACATAATAGCTCTAGATAGACAGAGCATTTTACCCATCACAAACTCACGACCTCTGCTTCCACACCACCTGCAGCAGGCAAATTCCATCTTCTGCTTGTCCTTTTAGGAGAGCTTGTCAGAGTAAAGGGTGGAAGACCAGGACAAGTATGCGTGTGGATACCTGCCTGTGCTGGCAGAGCTCTATAGCAGAGGATATGTGAGCAGCTGAAATGAAACAGGCAGCACTTACCTGTCTCTTTCTTGTGCTGAGAAAAACAGGTAATTTTCGAGAGGTTCTTGTTTTGCAGGTGTTTTTTCCTGAGCTTCAACCCATGGATTTATGCCCTTTTTTCTGCAGTCAGGGGTAGTGACTGTAAGTCTCTGGAAACATGTACTTGCCCTTTAAATTATTGCTTTGATTTGAGTGAAAATATTGGTTGTGGGGTCTCTGATCCTTTATTTCACCCCCAATAACTTTTAACTGACCTATTATTAAGTGACTGACGATCACTGGATAGGAGACAGAGACCAAAAAGGCACAAGATTTCTGGATGTAACAGCAAATTCAACATAGATGGTTGTCTTTTAACCTTCTGTTTGCTCTAAAGTGACTATCACCTGTATTTTTTGTTAGTTTTCCCCTTGTATTTTTTTCTTATACTTTTGCAGTACTTTGCATCATTTGCTATTAAGTATTTTCCTCCTGCTGTGTGTTGGGAGGTGCAGGGAATTGTAGTAACAACAGAATCATAAATATGTCTTGTGAATTTTCTGTTTGTTAGATTGCTGCCAAATTTTGCATATTTGGCTACTTGCCAAACAGCATCACATAATTTGGTACCTTATTGAGTTAATGGTGATCACTCAGGTTCCCCCCCAGAACTAGTGCTTCATTATTTTTAGATGCTCCAAGATTTAAGTGTATGAAACAAACCATGAATGGAATGAAGTGTAGAGTTTAAGAAGCATTTCAGTATCCTGTAAGGTTATAAATTGCCTTTGCTTGGAATTGTGTTTAGAATCTTGGAGACTTGGGTATGAATTGCTGTAGTGATTTTGGGGTTCATGGAGAGCATGTGCAGAGAGATATGAAACACCAAAACCTTCTTTTTTTTAGTGTAGTGTAAGTTAAACTTCCTGTAACGTACTAACTTCCAGCTGGTAATTTGTTTTAGGAAGTTTCCTTATGCTTCAGTTGAATTAGTTTTGCTTGAAGTACTACAAGCTGCAGCTGTAATTAGGAAATAGGTGATGGCTAATTTGTCACTATATTCAACCATAAGTATTCCTCTTTACTCCTGGAGGAGTGTTTAAAAGAAACGGGAGGAAAAAAGAAGAGGGAGAAAAGTAACTACAATTTGTCTGTGGGGTTTTTTGTTGTTCTTGTTTGCTTCTTTTGTTTTTTAATTTGGTTATATATCTCTGGATTATTTATTTAGGTTCTTACTTGGTTAGTTTGGGAGAAGTTATGTAGCAAAACTGAAACAATTCTTTTTGTCACTAGTGTGGAAAAAGTAAGTTTATCTCATGCCCTAGTTTTCATAGAGTAAAGGTTCATTTTTAGTGACTTTTTTCCCCACATAATCTGTAGAAGCTGGTTCTTCTTTTCTTAAAGTAACACGATTTTGTGTAAAAGGAGAATAAAGCAACTGTGTATGGAGTGCTGCAAAGCTAGTCTTACTAATAGCTCTAGCTCTTTGAAGACTGATCTGACAGTCTCTGTTGGTCTGATGGCCTATTAGCTAAATGGTTTTCTTTAGCTCCCATCAAGCCTAAATGCTTCTCGAGTCTGTTTTAGAAGATGATGAAACAGGAGAGCTTAAAGGAGAATACCAAAAGCTGTATGCATTTTGACTGGTGACTATTTTATTTCAACTGAGTTTACTCAGCAGAGCTGTGCACTGTGAGATCTGCTGCTGCGCAGATGGAAAGAAAGCGTATGCAATGAGGAAGAAGTGGGTTGTGCAACAAGTTGCCAGGGAAGATGTACCCTAACTGACTTACAAAGAAAAATGCGCTAAGGATGGAAATGTGATGGGACTAAAATAATTCAGGCTTTGGCTGGGTGTCGCTTTTAGTATAGTAGAAGCAGGTACTGGTTGAAGTATGGAACAGTCTTCAAGTATAGAAATGCCTGAGTTTATTCCTGATATCACTCAGTGCCTGCAACTGGAATCTCCGTTTTTTAAATGTGAGATGGATGTTGTACTGAAGCACTGGTTTACGTTTGAGTGTTATTTTGGGTAATAGCCAAAACTCTTTCGCTAGGCAAACATGTATTTGGGTAACTTAATGCTGTATTGTTTTTCATAGAGGATGGAGTTAAGATAAAGAACCAAGACGACTTGACTCCCTGTAGAAAACTACAGACTGAATAATTTTATGTAGTTGAAAAGCACTGTCTTGACCTCTTCGTCAACACTTTTCTCTGAGGTTCAACCTCCTAGCTGTGCCAAGCTGTGAAAATAAAAAATATTGTTTGACATTCATGTTGTACGAGATGCTGTGCTAGTGCCACAGTGAGCAGTGGTGTTTTCAGAAATTGCCTGGAATAATGTTTTGTGAGGGGCAAAATGCATTAAACGTAGTGCAGAGCATGCCAAGTGTCTATAAATGTCAGGCTCAGCATCCTGATGAGGGGTTTCTCTTCACTTGAAGGCATTCATCTTCTCTCCAGTTCCACAGATGTTTCCGTGCTTTGTCCTCTTTCTGCTGTGGTAGTGATGCAGAACCCAAGCTAACAAGTAAATGTGTCTAATTCATGAAGATTTTATGCTTATTTTACATTTAACATATTTCAACTGTTATTTAAAATTATCAGGCTCATTTTCTTTCTGCTGTGAATTGAGAACTATTCTATAGTGTAACTGTAGACTTCTCTTTCCAGATCGAAGTATTTTAGAACCTGTTCAACAGGAGAACACTTCACTATAGAGGTGAGTGCTTACATTTCTAGTGGTCGCAAAAAAAGCCATTAGGAAGAGCTGAATTCTAGCAGTGTCTTTTTGCATTCTGTGTACTCTGAAATATTCTGGGTTATTACAGACCGAACTGCTGGGTGGCAAGATAGTGGTTGTTACAGCACCTCAGAACATTAATAACTTATCTCACTGTGATCATTATTTGAAAGAAGAGAAGTATCCGTTACGATATCTTACTCAGCACTGGAGGATTCTAAAGTCTGCTTATTCCATTGCTGTGTTGAGAGGGATTTTTCTGTTCTTGTGTAAATGTAGGATATCTAGTTCTTCACTCCAGGATCATCAATCTGATCCTAGAAAAATCCAGTTTGCTCACCACAAAGATCCTTTCTTGGCCACTGAATAGCACCCCTTTTTTTGCCAAGGGTAGTGAGAGGTTAACTTGTTTGAGACTCTCAGAATAACCTGGTTTACTTTCTGAGTGTTCCTTACAGTCTAAAATTCCTGGACTGTTCAGATTACCCCTGTTACTAAGAACAAAATTTGTTTTAGTGGCCAGTTCCCCGGAGTGAGAGAGGGTTTCTGTGGCAGAAATATGATAGGAAAAAGAAAGTTCTGTCATCTTCCCAAACTGTTATTCATAGTCTGTTTACAGCTATTAGTTAATGTACAGATCAAACAAGAAGTCTTGCTGTAGGCATTGACTTCTGTGTTTGGTGTATTGACTATGTGTAATATTACTGTACTGAAAATAGTACAGTGAATTTCTGTTTGTTTTCATGTGATAGTTCAAGTTAGCTGTTTTTAGAGTTCTGTGTTGAAAGTAATTGTTTTCTGTAAATTAAATACATCTTGAAACACTTTTGAATAAGCAGCACAGTTGATATGTGAGATAGAGGTTGTGTGTGCTACACTTCTTATATTTTCTACATTATTAAACTGAGTGGGAGCCGTACTGTCGTGGTTTAAACAAAGTCAGCCATAAATCACACAGTCGCTCTCTCACTCTGCCCCCCTTTTTGCCCTCCCCCTGCTCCTGGAGATATGGGAAGGAGAATCAAAAGAATCCAACTCCCATGGGTTTAAATTAAGAACAGTTTAGTAACTAAGAACAGTTTAGTAACAGTTTAGTAACTTAGTAACTAATCCTGGAGGGATGGGAAGGAGAATCAAAAGAATGCAACTCCCATGGGTTTAGATGAGAGCTTAGTAATTTAAGCAACTAAGGTATAACACAAATCACTACTGCTACCACCAATAATAATAAGGCAAATAACAAGGGAAGAAAATACAACACCTCACCACCAGCTGACCGATAACTTGCCCCCCCCCAGCCCGACCAAGCACCGACTGATACCTAGTCCAACCCCGCAGTGCTACCCCCTTCCGGGCAACTCTGTTACATCCTGGGCATGACGTGCTATGGTATGGAATACCTCTTTGGCTAGTTTGGGTCAGGTGTCCTGTCTCGGCTTCCTCCCGGCTTCCCCTCCTCCCTGGCAGAGTGTGCGGCTCAGAAAGTCCTTGGCCAGACCAAACATTTGAGCAGTAACTAAAAACATGAGTGCTATCAGCACCGTACCCAGGCCAAAAGTCAAAACACAGCGCTGCACCAGCTACTAAGAAGGAGAAAAATGACTGCTACTGCTGAATCCAGGACATGTACCATGCCTTCTCCTGCTTGTATTATCATGCTTCGGCTACACAGAGTTACTGGCAGTCTTACAAGCTAATGAGATTTCATTTTTATCAGGACCCTCAGGTAAGTTGTAAAAACTTGAGTGTGTTTTAATTTTGACTTTTCTCCTTTTAAGCAAATGTAAGCTTTAAGAAAAGGAACATTGGTAAGAAGATAGGTCCTACTCTGCAAGTAATACTTCAGATAAAGTAGGGACTTCCATAAATGCTGTTACAGTCCCTGGAGTATCACTGGAGTAGTGCTTTTACAAGACAGATTAAATACATAATTGTATTTGCACTATGTATTTAGTGACTTGTCACATTGAATAGTAAAGATTGTTTACTGTTTTCTCTCTGCAGTTTGAGAACCTGGTGGAAAGTGATGAGGTAGGTACCTAGATGATCCTGTGAAACCTGCTAGTACAACCCTCAGAAGTGGTTCCAAGAGCTGTATTTTCCTTCCACTTTATGTGATGCTGTAACTTAAATCACAAGGGGTTTTTAAACTCTTGAGTTTTGCTTGCTCTAGTAGTAAGTATTAAACACTTCGGGAGAAATTAAGACCTAAGAAAAGAGAAAACTTATTTGGGGCAGTATGGGAAGTAACCCCTTTGGGAAGAGAGCATTATGAACATTATGAAGGCAAAAATAAAAGAAGGTGGTGGGGATGTGGAAACATGGAGAGTGGAGGGAAAGACTTGATAGTTTGCTTCTGGAGTAACTCCTGTGTAAGACTCAGCACATACTCTGTCTGAGAACAGAAACAGACCAGGGTTGCTTTGCTAAGGAAAGTTTTGGGTGTCTTTGCAGTTCTTGTGGTTATGAGTAAACTGTACTTCAGAAAAATAGAAGTTGGCCTTTAAACTTTATAAATCTAATACAGCTTGATAACAGGTGGGGCATACACCTCACTTGCAACACCCTGCTTTGTATTTTAAAACACGAGGGCTGATAGTTTATAAACAATTTATAAATTATTGGAATATTTATTATCAGTTGGAGGAACCTGTTTTACTGAGCCATTTCAGCTGATGGCACAGCAAGATTTTTATTTTATTTTTTTTTCCAAATTAAAGGACAGGATTTGTCTGCTTCCTCTTCCCTGCTAACCACCTTCCCCTCTAACTATAAAACCAATATATGGGAGAAACTGATTTCATACTAGAGTTTTTCCTATCTTGAAACTGATTGATGTGATTTTCATAAACTCAGACTTTTCTCTTTTTCTAACAGGGAGAAAGCCCAGGAAGTAGTCACAGGTAAGACTTTGAGCTTCAGGGCCTCTCTTTCCCACTGCTCTCCTGCTGTGATTATTAAATTTTTAACAGTTCCTGTCAAACCTTTTCTGTCTTTAGTTGTCAGATACATGGAAAGGATGGATGTCAAGCTAACCTCAATGCTTAACCCTGCTTAACCAGTTCAGATGATAATTCATCATGCAAAAGCCATACGAGACAGTTAAAACAGTGTATTGCAAAGAGAATCTTGTTCCCAGAGTCTGTTTTACAAGTTAAATGGGTGTTAATGATACAGCTCGAGCGAATTTTCTGTGAGTGTCTTAATATTGACATAAGCAGCAGAGACTTGGGGTCTGCACTATAGGAAATCTCTGAAGGGTATGCTTTATTTGGCAACTTACAGATGTTTTGTGGTGTTTAAGAGCTCCCAATTTTTGCTGTCAGTGATCCCAAAGAAGTGATGTAGCAATCCTTGTAATTTATAGTAATGCTTTTGCAGTCTTGTTTCTTAGATGCATAAAAGCAGACATAGAGTATAGATGAAAGGGGACCAATTGGAGGAACCAAAACAAGCAAGAAAAAAGTGACATTTACACTGCAGTGATGTTAACCTATTCCATTAGTTCTGTTAATGAACAGTGCTTTGAAAATATGCTTTTTACAAAGATACAAAAAATCCTTTTCTAAGAGTAAGGAGAGACAGCATTGTCTTGAGTAAACTGGAATTTTGGAGCTCTCTTCTCATGAGGAGCAGGCCAGAAGCACAATTTGTTGAATTTGCATTACAGGACCAGTAAAGAAGGACTTGTATGCGTATGTTTAAGTGTGACTTGGGGTTGTCATGCATAAATAATTGATAGAGTCTCTCTGTTTCTCCCATGCATTTAGACCTCTGGCTGAGGAAGAAATTTCTCACTTGAAAGACAGACATTATGACTTCATTGCTGAGAAGCAGAGAGTTGTTGATATGAAGCTTCAGGCAGAGGTAAGCAGTTGCAATAACTGGTATGGTGTGGAGATTTTCTCTAAAATCAACCACGAACACAAGGAGAGTCCATTGACATGAATGAAAAGGTGGGGTTTTGTTCATCAGTTGGTATTTTGTGGTCTACAAGATGCACAACTGAGTTTGCATCAGAGATTGCTGCTTTTCAGTAGCCTCTTGGCTGAAAAATTGAATGTATAGACTGGTGCTACAACTGTCATCTGTTAAATTTGAACTTTTTTAGGAAAGAACGAATGGGGAGTATACTTGGTTCAACTTGTGCTCGTTTTTTTTCAGAGCATTTCTTAAGGAAAAAAACCCCATAATTTGTCATTTTGTTTTAGTGTTGCAGTAATGAATGGAATATAATGTGGAATACAATATAGGAATTAAGAATGACTTCTTAGTAAAGGACCAATGAAATATGCAGCTGAAAAGATTTAAGTCTTGCACTACAGTTCCTAGTGAAATGCAGTGTGCATTTCCAACAGTCGCTAGTCGTGATGTTTATTCAGTAGGGTAATGTTTAGTTATCTGAATTTCTTGGGATGGTTGGGGGGGGGGGAAGCTGTTAGATTCAGGTAATGAAGAAAAACCTTTTAGTTACAGTCTATTTTCCTTTATTTTTATTTTCTAGTAGCTCTTTTGTTTTATTGATCTTATGGCTTTATTGACAGGAAGATAGATAGGTTCTGCTTTTGTTAACCATTACTATTTTGTTCATATACAGTTAGCCTTAGAAGAGGAGAAGTTAAGACTAGAAGAGGAGGCTTTATATGCTGCGCAACGTGAAGCAGCCAGGGCAGCAAAGCAGAAAAAGCTTTTGGAGGTGAGGGGAAACAGACCCCAATATATACCAGAGCTTCTTTTTCTGTTTCTGTGTATGCAGACTTTCCTAGTACCCTTTACATCTCAGAAATGTAATAGGGAAATTGCTTTGGGTCGTATATTCCAGTAGAGAAATAAATGCACTCTTTGAAAGTGCAGCTGAAAATTATTACAATTGTTTCAAATGGCTTATGTGGCTGAGTATAGATTTTGAGTGAAATACATGATTTTAATGTATAATTAGCTTAACAGACTTCTTGCATTGTATAGAAGTTACTAACTTTAATGTGATCTTTGATAGATTTCTAGTTAAACACCCTGAAATTAAGCATACATTGTGACATGATTTAGGCATGTAAAATGTACTTTATATATTTGTGCACTTAATTTTTCCTTTTCTGTGTGGCTTGTGCTAACATGAAGATAAGTGCTTTCAAGGCATCTGTGAATTTACTGCTGGCCCTGCTTGGAGCTTACCTCTTGGGGCCTCTTCCAACCTCACTTCTCTCATTTTGTGATTTGTACGTGTATTAGGCAAAGTCTGGTAATGACTTAAATAGTCTTTATTTACTATGTCTGTGCCTACTTTCACATGTCTGGTGTTCCCACTTTTGGAGCTTGGTCAAGTAAAATGAAAGCCCGCATTATGTTTTCCTGCTTCTTTGAAAGCATGCTGTTCAGATAGTTTTCATGTTGTATTTCAGAGTTAGGTATTATCGGTGCATTTAATATTTTTGCTGTATTACTCACCTGTCAAAGTATGTGTTCTGACATGAATTTCAGATTGCCACTAGTGTGTATGAGAAAGAACATTGTCACTTTGTAGAGTGTATTTGGCTGCAGTTGTAGGAGACAGACTGCTACACGTTATGTGTTGAGTTAGAAGTAAATTTTCGAAAACTCAGGTTTAGACCAATTGCAAAAGGCTGTGGTCTACAATAGGTATTGGGGAGATCTGTAACCCTCATGTATTGTCAATATTCAAAAGAGAGTGAAAATTGTTGTTCCCAGGCTGATAGTGATGGCTGAGATTTCATCTGATATTTATGTTGCAAGTATAGGTCTCATTTCACATTTCTCTTTCCAGCCTCTTATTGTTTGGTAGGGGAGGGCTGATTCTTTCTGACCTTTTCCTTATCTGCCTTTCTTTTTGGTTGTTTTGTGTTTTGTTGTTTTGTGTGTGTTTTGTTTGTTTGTGGGGGTTTTGTTTCATTTTGTTTGGGGGAGGGGGTGTTGGTGCGGTTTTGGGGGTTTTTTTTGCTTTGTTGTTTTGTCAGTTATTGGGGGGGTGTTGTTTTTTGATTGTTTTGTTTGTTTGTTTAAAAAAAATCCACTTTTGATCTGTTCTAGTCAGGACCTAAGATTAAATTCATTACAGAGATTTTAATTTCCTCCTCTTCTAAAATTAGTACCACTTACTTCCTTTACTACAGATTTCCAAGGAAGCATTTTTGTGGAGATTGGCATCAAACATTTAACCTTTCTAAATAAACTAGAAACTGCTTTTGAATTCGTAACTCAAGCCTTTGCTGTTTGTAGGCAGCAGCCTTTTAAATGAGAGAATGGCTTTTTCGTTAGAAATGTAGTAGTCCTTTAAAACTAATTTGGCTTGTTGGTGTTGCCCTACTAAATGTCAGGGTTTGAAGCAGTGGAGAATTCTAACATGTGTGTATCCTGGACCTCACATTGGTAGATATTTATATGTGACCTGGCAGAACGGATAATTGAAATTGGTTATTATGTGGATATATGAGTCTTAAAAGGAAAGTGTTGTGCATGTCAGTAACCGACATTTACAGCTTGTAACTATGTTGGTGCCAAATTCCTGTCCCTTTCTCCCTGCATACTTAAGTCTTCTCACCTCTAATTACCATTACATGATACTTCCACTTCTTCTGCACTTCCCATTGCCTTACTGGTTTCCATCTGCTTATTCTGATACTCTTTATTTAAATACCCAAGATGGAAAAGTGTTCCAAGAAATGAAGCCATTGGCATTTGGGATTGAAAAGTACTCAATCTAGTGCAGTTATCTTGCAAAACAATTTACCCAGTGAAGTTCAAGTCAACATTAAACATTCTGGTTTATTTACTGCTGCTTTCCTTTTGCAGGGAAAGATCCATTAAATTTGAGAATAGTTTTTTTCAGAAGGCATAATAGTTAGATACATCAGACCTGGCTGTAAAACTAGCTTACTTATTTTTAGCTTAGTCTTTGACACAATCAGTGAACAATTACTGCTTCATAAAAGATTTACCTTGAATCACAGAGTTGGTGTGCTCAGTTTTTATGTTCCCACTTTTCTCAAGGTAGGGGAAAGAAACTTAAGACAAATTGAAATGTTTAAACCCTAAAACTTAAGCAGAACTCTACTTCCATGACATCTGTTGTTTCTCCTGTAACTGCGAAGTAAATGCATTTATAGCTTCTGTCTTGCATTTTTTGTTCTGGTTTTGCCTATAGATACTATGAAAGCTTTCTACCTTAAGATTGGAGAGGTAGTAATACTTTTGGCTGAGCAAGGGAACAAAGCTTTTATTAATATAGTTGAAGCACTTGGTGAGGATACAGGTAACTGGAGGAGCTTGTGGTATTGATTTGTACAGGGATAAAAGGATCTGTAGGAAATGTTTCTTTTAAAATGATAGGCTGACTGTTCGTGGGCACAGAGCAAAAGGAATCAAACATAACCCAGGTACTGAAAATTCCCATTGGTTAAGAAGAGAAGGCTAGAGGACAGATACAGTCACAAATGAGGTGGTGTTTGCAGGTTGCTAGCCAAATTAACGCAGATTTCGGGGGGGGGGGGTTTATGGTGCATGAAATAGGTAAAATGCTGAGAGCTCTGTTCAGCAAGCTATCTGCTTTTAAATCTGAGATATAAAAACAATACTCCTTCAGTATCCTAAAATTTGTTCTTCACTTGAAAGTCAGTCTTTTCCCGGGTCATACTGAAACTGCTCCAGGGCCAGGGCACTGTTCCCTCTAATATCTCAGATAAGGCAACAGTTACCTGAGTGTTGTCTACATTACTCTGAGTGATTTCATTCAGTTTTTTCAACTGTTTTCTCATTTTGATAGCAACGTAGACAGCAAAGGATAACCCAGAGAGCACATGCTATTAATAATGGAGAATATCAGAGGTAAGTTGTAAAGTTTTATTCATGATAATAGAGAGCTGTGACTGTTTTTACTCCTGTTCCTCATCTACCCTGACCAGACAAAGAAAAACTCATTACATTTTTCAAACCTTACACATTTCTAAGTCAGAATTGGTTTCATTCTTTGCAGTTCTCTTCACACCAAGTAGTTGCCAAATTCAAATTAGTTACTATTAACCTGCAAAATAGAGGGTAGCTTGCATTCATTCTGGTTTTCGCTGTATTTATTAGACTGATGCATACAAAATTTAACGTACTCCCAGCTAGTTATACATACACACACACACACAGAGTCAATGAGTGGTTTACAGTAAAAATGTGTTTATATGTATCATTTTTGGCTAATATAAAAATACCTTTATTATTCAGAGCCCTGTTTGAAATGTCCAATAAAAATACACACTAATCAAATGGGGAATTGAATGGTATATCTAGTCTGCCTGTTATATCATTAATACTATCAATTTAATGCTCTTCACTCCCACCTTCTGTGCTGGGGGAGGGGGAGGGAAGGGAGAGAAAAGCAAAGGTAATCTGAATAAATTTACTGTTGAGTGGTATCTGAGTTTAGAAAAGACCCTGAAATCAAACAACTATTTTTGGATGGAAGAGAAGGGGGTGGGAGGGATTATTGGTTATGGAAGTATGTTTAGAAAATGAGCTGTAAAAACCAAGGTTTTATGGTGTGGGAGGAACTATGCAGATTTTATGAATGAAGGACTACAAGTAGCAGGATTTGAATTCATTAGCTAAAAAAGGGAACTGAAAATTAAGGAGGCATTCTCTAAAGTGACAAAGATTGAGAGGAAGTGTAATTTTGTGACAGAAGTGAATTATTTTTTTAACTGAAAATGCTACTGAAAATTGAGAAGGGAGAGGATGTGATGAGTAGGAATGGGAAAAGCATAAAGATTTAGTTAAATATGTATGTGCTTTGTAGCATAGAACTGGGAGGGAGGGCATGTTGATTAATGTATTTTATAGCCTCCTGAGAGGCTATAAAAAAAATATGTGCATTGTATTTGCAGCTCAGTGGCAGAGGAAGACCTCGATTCTTTCTTAAGAAATACAAAATTCCAGTATGAAGCTTTTCACAGTAGTAGTAAGTCTTCCTTTTATTTTTATGAGAGTCTTTAGGTGATTGAGGAGCACAGAATGCTGTTTCTTTTCCTAGATAGATATAATAACTTATTTTTATACCACATGTATATAAAATATGTATACATGTATCTATTAAAAAAAAAAATTGATAGAACCTTTTCCTCTAATCCCTTGTGCTTCAAGTGTTCAAAACTTGGCATTTATAACTTGTACTACAGCCATTGCAGCTCCCAAAGGCAAGTTAAGTAAGCAAACAAGTCCTGTGCATGGATTTTATTTTACTGAAGTTTTCCAACTGGCTCCATGGAGGCAACATCAATGTGGTGAACTTCTCTTGTAAAGCCCAGCTGTGTATTAAAGATGCCAATGTGTGTGTGTAGCTTTTTTAATAATCTCTCAGCAAAATAAGTAGCATCATACTAATTGGGTTTTTTTTTTCCTAATGAAGTGAGAGGATTCGGCTGAATATATTTAAAAATTCTACTAACTATTTAGAGGAAAATGACTTTATACACTTAGATCCATGTCTTGATGACAGTACATGATAGTCACTAAGCAGTTGTAGGACTGATGTTAATTTTTGGGAAACTGTGTGTACAGTTTGAGGTTTTTTTGGAGGGAAAGGTTGATTTGTTTGGGTTTTTTGTTTTGTGGGGATTTTTTGTTTGGTTGGTCTGGTTTGGTTTTTTTGTTTTTTTTTTTTTTTTTTGCAAGTCTTTACACAAGTCCAATTTACAGCTTATTCAATTTCTCTATCGTTCTAGTTAGTCTTGCTTAATGTCCTCTTGCAATATCTTAGTAATGTTGACTATTAAAAAGTTACTGTAGACACTTTGAAGTCCTGGATGAAGTGCTTTTTCAAGTGTTCCTGAGCTTTAAAGGCTGCAAGGCACAAAACCTCCTTCCTATGAAAGTTGTTTTACATACTGAACCTCAAATTCAAGTATGTATATGAATTAAATTTATTTGGTTTTGGTTGGTTGGTTGGTTTTGGGGTTTTTTTTGTGATGTGTTTTTTTTTTGTTGGTTGGTTGGTTGGTTGTTTTTTTTTAATCTAGGACTCTCATCTGATGCTACAGTGCTTACACCCAACACGGAGAGCAGTTGTGACTTAATGACCAAAACGAAATCAGTGAGTGGAAATGATGACAGCACTTCATTAGATTTAGAGTGGGAAGATGAAGAAGGTATTTATTCTGCTCTTGAGTTTCATTCTGAACCTCCAAGTTAAAAATGCTAATAGTGTTAAAACTATGTTGATTGTAAATGTTGTTTTTGAAAGGGAGGGAAGGCGATTTAAAACTTAATTCTGATGAAACTTGTCAAGTGTGTAATGATTAAACTGTAGATTATTTTTACATAGGAAATTTAGAATTTTGAAGAATTCCTAATAAATTAATCCATTTCTTTGGATCCTTCAATGTCTTTTCCTGCATTTTGTGGAATGGACTTGTAAACTCACATCAGCCGTAATGATAAAGAAATGCTGCCCTCTTGTGAGCCAGTAGTAGTAGGAACGGCTTGTTCCTTACCTTACAATGTGTAAGTTTGTCAGAAGTGCCAAAACCTGCCTAAAAACAGAGAACAACATGACTGTATAGTTGTATTTCTGATTCCTAGTAGCTTGTGCTTTACAGAGGGGGTAATTTTTATAGGTCATTGTGGCAGCAGTGCATCTCTTCACTCTAGTAACCTCTGATCTTGAGTAGAACAGGGGTAAGATAACGTAAGGAAGACTGCTTGAGAACATAACTGGTTTTCATGGCTGCAAAGGAAGGAATGTTGTTATTTGAAAGAAGTACAAGCCAGTGTTGCAAGGGCTTTGTGTCATTTTTAGGACATTCTTGGTAGATCTGGACCAACTTAAGTGTATTAAAACGATCTCCCTGAAGGGGCTGACTGCTTGCTCAGTTACTTTGTGTGCTGTTAAAATCTACTGTGGAGACTGAACAACTTAAAAAGTAGAGGGGTGTGTGGGGTTTAGTGTCAACTGGGGTATTAATTTATGGTCTCATTTTTGCTGTTCGTAAACAAAGTCATACAGGGGCTGAATGCAAAGTAGAGAAGAACCAGTGCTTTTCAGTAGTATTATCCTTGAAAAACCCAGCCACCAAGAATAACAAGAAGATGACATTGCTTGACAGAAAAGTTGCCAGGTTAGGAGCTTTTTAACAGGGAAACAATGTCCTTCATGAATTACACACTTCTGAGACAGGAGTTGTTTTCATTCTCTGGTGTCATGTACCAATACCAAACAAGAACTTGTAATACTGATGTTGTATTGGTATTTTTGGCAGAGTATCCTCAGATAGACAACAGCTTCAGTGAGCCATTGGTACCAGAGGAATAACTAAATTGAAAATAGCTATGTTTTAAGAGAACCATGAAACCGTAACATAAAATCTGTCATTTGGTGTCTGATGAAGGGAAAAATTTTCCTCATATTTTTTCCCTGTGGCTTACCAACTGCAAGAGTTCTGTGTTTCACTTTCAATATGAAGTTTTTAATTATAATTAATTAGTTAGTTACTCCACATTTAAAGGGGAGTTTACTTAGGAATGTATGAGAACAGCAAATAAGAGGATCATCATAAATCCTCCTCTTTTTTGTTTCCAGTGGTTTGGGTTTGGGTTTTGGTTTTGGTACACCATAACTAAAGTCAATAATTACTGACAAATAGCATCTCTGATATGCTTGTGCAGTTTTCAACCCATCTTTTGCCTTATTTTGTGTGAAATTGAATATACTTTTTCAGACAAACTGAAGAGCTTTCCTAGACAAATGTACCCAATATTCCTCTAGAGTTTAGTTGCTGTATAAAATGTTTCATGTGGTAATGTTTTATCTGTTTGTCAGTTACAGCAGCATTACAGGTTTCTGCAGACATTAAGCTTTTCTGGAAATGGCATGGTACAAAGGATCTTCTAATACTTACATACCTATAATATAGGGCAGCAGGTGGTTTAAATAGGAGAAACACTGCCAGTGAGTTGTTTTGTTGTGTTATCTGGGTTCATTAGAACTCTAAAGCAACATCAGTGGCTGTGTTCATTTGGGCTAAAACTGACTGCAAACTATGGATTTAATATGAACGCTACCACCAGAAAAAAATATGCTGACACTTAGGAGTGAAATTATCCGGGTTTGGGTTTCTAAAGGATTCTTGCTGTTTCTTCTAATGCTCTAAGGCAAACATAAAGGTACTTCCCCCAAAATGATGTCTTTCTCATAAACACTTCTTAAATCACAGGCATGAACAGGATGATTCCAATGAGAGAACGCTCCAAAACAGAAGAAGATATACTCCGGGCAGCACTGAAATTCAATAACAAGAAGAAAGGAAGTAATCCAGCTTCAGCATCTGACGATTCCAATGGATTAGAGTGGGAGAATGACTTTGTTAGTGCTGAAATGGATGATAATGGCAATTCCGAATATGCCGGATTTGTAAACCCTGTGTTAGAGTTGTCTGTATCAGATATAAGGACATCTGTTTCTGATTGTCAAGACAGGTAGTGAAACTGCATGGCCCTTAATCTGTGACCAAATGCTGGGAAGTGGCATAGAATGTACAAACGCAATTCACTCTTTTGAATGTGGTTCACTTTTTCTTCCCAGTTGAGTGGCAAGGAGTGAGAATGACTTGCTATCTGAATTAATTCAGATTTAAGTGCAATTTCATCATCTACCTTCTAAATTTTTATGAAAACTGAGATGATTCTCTTGTGTATATTTCTGGATACCTGGATTTAATATAAAATTGTCTGCACTAATTTAAGCTTCATAGCTTGGCATATCTATATTTTAAGTAGCCTTCCCCCCTCCTCCCGCCCCCTCCCCCCCAGATGTCATTTATGCTGATTTTGTTTTTAAAAGTCATCAGTGGCCTAACAGCTAAGAAATGGTCTTGTATTAATTTAATGAATACTTGAATATAGAAAAGGAATTTTAAAATTTTATTTCAAACATGTGCTTTTTTGACTTGTTCTTTAGCTATTGAGAGAGTGTGCTTAGCCAGCTGTAAAACAAATATGCCTTGGGATAAATGGCAGGTTTTCCCCATTTAGCTTACAGTCTTTCTAGCCTTGTGTTGCCCTCCTTCTCATTTATTTCATTTTTTTATTACTTCAAGCGCAGTTAACCTCAATAAACATAATATAAATCATTGGGTTAGGTTAGGTAAGATACTGCATTGTATAGTATGCCAGACTTAGTGTGTGCTAGATAGAAAAATTACTATAAAAATATCTTTATGCATCAGTCAGGAAACTTCAGCCCATATCTAGTGGAGAACTAGGAGGACCAAATTCTTGATTTCTCCCTCTTCCCCCCCCACCCCCCAAAAAAAAGATCAACATCTGTTCCAACGTTGTCCTTAAAATTCTTCAGTGATAGAAAATTTACAATTCAACTCATCTGGAAGGATTAGTGAAAAACAACATTTTCTGAAAAAACTGAGGGAAGGCTAGTTGCTCTGCTTCTGGGTTATGAAGAAGAAGAAGAACCTAAAGGCTGAATTCCTCTATCTGTTTTTTTAAAGCAGGGGAATAAAAAGTTCAAGTTACAAACCAGTGTGTTTAAGTGATCAAGCTTTCCCGTGCCTCTGAACTGGATGGGTAACACTGCTATTACAGACTGAAATTCAAGGAAGTGTTTGGTTATGGCAAATCTGGTGTAATGTATCCCCTCTGCCTGCCCCAGCAGTGGCCACCGTAGGAACCTAGACAGAGCTGATGAGAGGGGAAGCTGCAGTGTAGACTTTGGGGTGTAGAGAGTGCCTGCACTGATCTGGTGAGGGAAAGGTACACAATGGGCAAGGTCCTCGTGCAGCAGGTGGCTGAGCTGCAGGATGCTGTTAATAGGCTACAAGATGTCAGGGTAGCTGAGAGGAAGCAGGAATGCTTGCGCCAGGCCCAAACTGTGCTGGGTCCTCAAGCTTCCCCTCTAGCTCATGGAGGAAAGAAAGAGGCTGTTAACCCGCGAAGCTGAGAATTGGTGAAAAAAAAAAAAAACAACAAAAAAAGGAAGAAAATGACAATTTAATAGCAAGGGACTTCCTAAATCTGTTGTCTCCATGCAGAAACGCTTTGCTGTCCTTGCAGGGGGCTCATGAGGAAACATACTCATGCCAGAAACAGCCACCTGATGCACTAATAAAGAAGATCTCTACTGGTGCTGCCAGGAAAAAGTGGTGGGTCATAGTAGTAGGGGATTCTACTTTGAAAAGGACAGAAGCACTCGTCTGTTGGCCTGACCCGGTCTCAAGGGAGGTGTGTTGCCTGCTAGGGGCACAGATCAGGGATGTGGCAGAGAGGCTGCCTGCTCTGGTAAGCCCCACAGACTATAACCCACTTCTAGTGATACATGTGGGTGCTATGGATATAGATAGTAGTAGCCTGGGGAACATAAAAAAGGACTACAGAGCCCTGGGACAGGTGGTTAGGGGCTCTGGAGCTCAGATAGTCTTTTTGTTCATTCTCCAGGATACACGGGAGGACCTAAAAAAAGCTAGGAGGATTAGCCAGGTTAATAAATGCTTAAAAGGGTGGTGTCACAGTCAGGGGTTTGGGTGTCTTGAACATGGGACCCAAGTTTGTAGGCCAGGTCTAGTGGGGGCTGGTGGAGCTGCTAGTGGTTTTGGTGGGAGGCTTGCCAGACTGGTCAAGGATGCTTTAAACTAGATGTGTTGGGGGAGGGGGCCATCATTCCATCCCAACACACCCAGTCAGTTGCCAGCACCTTTAACAAACGCTCGAAGCAATATAGAGATACTCCAGGTGCTCCAGCCAATGAGCCGGCTTCATTTGGAGCTCGGCTCAGATGCCTCTATACAAATGCCCGTAGCATGGGTAACAAACAAGAGGAATTAGAGATGTGTGCACGTCTACAGAGGGTATGATGTAACAGGCATCACAGAAACATGGTGGGATGGCTCCTATGACTGCAGTGTTGGAATGGAAGGTTACAGACTCTTTAGAAAAGACAGGCCTGGCAGGCACGGAGGGGGAGTTGCCCTTTATGTTAGGGATAGGCTGGAGAGTATTGAACTCTGTCTGGGGGCAGGTGAGCAGATAACAGAGAGTTTGTGTGTCAGGGTTAAAGGGAAAACAGCGATGGGAGACATTACTGTGGAAATCTGTTACAGACCGCCTGATCAAGGAGAACCTGCAGATGAAGCACTCTTTAGACAGATAGGAAAAGCCTCACACTCACAGGCCCTTGTTCTCATGGGGGACTTCAATCACCCTGACATCTGTTGGAATGATGGTACCGCTCGGCACAAGCAATCCAGGAGGTTCCTTGATTGTGTGGAAGACAACTTCCTTCTGCAAGTAATAGAGGAGCCGACAAGGAGAGGTGCCATGCTTGACTGCGTGCTCACCAACAGGGAAGGGCTCATTGGAAATGTGATGCTCCAGGGCAGCCTTGGATGCAGCGGTCACAAGATGGTCAAATTTGAGATCCTCAGGACAGTGAGAAGAGCGTGCAGCAAGCTCACTGCCCTGGACTTCAAAAGAGCAGACTTTGGCCTCTTCAGGAACGTGCTTAGTAAGGTTCCTCCCTAGAGGGCAGGGGGGCCCATGACTCTTGGTTCATATTCAAGGATCACCTGCTACAAGCTCAGGAGTGTTGCATCCCAACTAGAAGGAAGTGCAGCAGGAGGGCCAGGAGATCTCCTTGGATGGATAAGAAGCTGCTGAGGAAAATCCAAATGAAAAAAGAGTCTTATAGAAAGTGGAAGCAAGGACAGGAGGCCTGGGAAGAGTACAGGGATGTTGTCTGGGAAGCTAGGGACCAGGTTAGGAAAGCTAAGGCCCAGTTAGAATTAAACTTGGCTAGGGATATTAAGGATAACAGGAAGGGGTTCTACAGGTACATAGCAAATAAAAAACAGATTAGGGAGAACGTAGGCCCCCTCAGGAAGCTCTCGGGTGAACTAGCTACACAGGATTTGGAGAAGGCTGAGGTTCTGAATGACTTCTTTGCCTCGGTCTTCTCTAGCAAAGGCTCTGACCGCACCACCCAAGTCTTGGAAGGCAGATGCAGGGACTGTGAGAATGGAGACCTTGGGCCTACTGTAGGAGAGGAATTGGTTCGAAACCATCTTAAAAATCTGAACATGCACAAGTCCATGGAACCTGATGAAATCCATCCGTGGGTCCTGAGGGAGCTGGCGAATGAAGTTGCTAAGCTACTGCCCATCATATTTGAAAAATCATGGCAGTCAGGTGAAGTTCCCAATGACTGGAAAAAGGGAAATATAACCCCCATTTTCAAGAAGGGGAAAATGGATGACCCGGGGAATTACAGACCAGTCAGTCTCACCTCTGTGCCTGGCAAAATCTTGGAGCAGATTCTCCTGGAAGGCATGCTAAGGCACATGAAAATCAACAAGGTGCTTGGTGACAGCCAGCATGGCTTCACCAAGGGGAAATCCTGCCTGACCAATTTGGTGGCCTTTTATGATGTGGCTACAGAACTGATGGACAACGGTAGAGCAGTTGATGTTACCTACCTGGACTTGTGTAAAGCGTTCGACACTGTCCCACATGACATCCTTGTCTCTAAATTGGAGAGACACCAATTTGATGGATGGACCACTCAGTGGATAAAGAACTGGCTGGATGGCCGCACACAAAGAGTTGTGGTCAATAGCTCAATGTCGAGCTGGAGACCAGTAACGAGTGGTGTCCCTCGGGGATCGGTGTTGGGACTGGTCTTGTTTAACATCTTCGTTGCTGACATGGACAGGGGGATTGAGTGCACCCTCAGCAAGCTTGCCAATAACACCAAGCTGTGTGGTTTGGTTGATAAGCTGGAGGGAAGGAATGCCTTACAGAGGGACCTCAACACACTTGTGAAGTTTAACCATGACAAGTGGAAAGTCCTACACCTGGGTCGGAGCAATCCCAGGCACAGCTACAGGCTGGGCGGAGAAGAGATTCAGAGCAGCCCTGCAGAGAAGGACTTGGGGTGCTGGTCGATGAGAAAATGAACATGAGCCAGCAGTGTGCGCTTGCAGCCCAGAAAGCCAACCGTATCCTGGGCTGCCTCAAAAGGAGCGTGGCCAACAGGTTGAAGGAGGTGATCCTGCCCCTCTACTCTGCTCTCGTGAGACCTCACCTGGAGTATTGTGTGCAGTTCTGGTGTCTTCAACATAAAAAGGACATGGAACTCTTGGAACAAGCCCAGAGGAGGGCCACGAGAATGATCAGGGGACTGGAGCACCTCCCGTATGAAAATAGGCTGAGAAAGTTGGGGCTGTTCAGCCTGGAGAAGAGAAGGCTGCGTGGAGACCTCATAGCAGCCTTCCAGTATCTGAAGGGGGCCTATAGGGATGCTGGAGAGGGCCTCTTCATTAGGGACTGTAGTGATAGGACATGGGGTAATGGATTAAGACTTAAACAGGGGAAGTTTAGATTGGATATAAGGAGGAAATTCTTTCCTGTTAGGGTGGTGAGGTGCTGGAATGGGTTGCCCAGGGAGGTTGTGAATGCTCCATCCCTGGCAGTATTCAAGGCCAGGTTGGACGAGGCCTTGGATGATATGGTTTAGAGCGAGGTGTCCCTGCCCATGGCAGTGGGGTTAGAATTTGATGATCTTAAGGTCCTTTCCAACCCTAACTATTCTATGATTCTGTGATACTTTTGCAGGTTATACCTTTTAGAAAAGGCTCACAAAAGAAGATGCAAAACAATTGTAGAAGTCAGGCTTTCCCCAGAGTTTCAATAAAGCCATTCTAATTTACTGTTGTTTTGTGTGGCTGTCTTGTTTTCCCCTGGAAAAAAGGGGGGTGGGTTTAACTTCACATCTGTTGAGTAATAGCAGCACTCTAATTAATGTATTTGCATCACCAGAGAACTGAATTTGTCAGTGACTGTTGTGTCACTGTTTTAGCCTGCATGTGATATTAGGGTCATTACAGGGTGGTCCTCTTCATAATAACTTGAACAAAAATACTGTACACTGGTATGAAATATGTACAAATATCACCACTAATGAAGAGATGAATCTTGTTGATAATATTCCATTTTTTTTAAATTTAAATTGTAGCTATGTCACTGAAAAATATTTTAATGTCATTATCTACATTTGCAATGCCTGTAAGAATGCTTTAAGATGCTTTAAGAATTTGTATGCATCAACTGTTTATTTTTGGTTTGGTGTAAGCTACTACAATGTAACTTCTCCTGAATGTGGATTTGTATAAGAGATACCTATGGAACTGATCTCAACATGTAAATAACCTGGGGTTTTACCTACTCAAACTGTAACTTGCCCTGCAGTGGCAGCTACTTCTGACCAGAGAACATAAGCTTATCTTGTGCTGACAACGCTTTGAGGAAAGAAACTGGCCAATACTCCTGTGTGTAGAATGAACAAGTGCTTAGGAAAAAGGAATCTGATTGCGGCTGAAGGTTTTCACTGTGATGTGTATGTTCTGCCATAGCAAACAGCGTCCTGCTTTTCAGGGTTCAGGGCACCAACCACACTGAGTGAGTGTGGTTGATCAGTCACTGATTAATATTCTAGTCAATATTTGTGGAAACTGAAGAACTTGAAAGATAATACAAACAGCTCGGGTGAAACAGTTCAACGGTACTGTAAAAGTCATACCTGTACCAATATAAGTCATTAAAATTTTCAGTCATTCTTATGTTTGGCAATGTTTTATCTGTTGCTGGTTCTGTGGCTGTCATGTCATATATAGTGAAAGCAATGTGTGAAGACGAATTGTTCCAATGTTACCTCCAGTTACCTATGCATCAGTAAAGGAAGGTTTTAAGAAATCATTAGCTGTGTCTTTTAACTACTGAATTCTATAGAATCCCTTCTTGAGACCTGTTGCTTTGGAAGGGAAACTGTAGCAAGCTGCAGTAACAGAGGGCTTGAGGCCTTTCTTCTATCAGAAGCTGTATTCACAAACCTAAGATGCTCTTCCTTACGTAATGCAGGCACCTTTCCTATGTTCCTGCCTCTCCAACACCTTTGGAGATGACTTAGCTGATTCTGCCCATATGTAGGAAATAGTCTTTAATAGGAAGCTCTTACTCTTTTTCAATTCCAATTCCAATGAAATGTTTTACTAAGTTGTTCAGTGTTCCAGTTGTTCCTTGTCTTTCAACGGGGGAGACATCAGCTTGATGAATGGACACCGGCTGGATGAGGAATTGGCTGAATGGCCACATGCAGAGAATTGCATTCAACAGCCCAATGCCCAGCTGGATATGGGTAACAAGTGGTGTCCCTCAGGGGTCGGTGTTGGGACCAATCCTGTTCAACATCTTTGTTGGTGACATGGACAGTGGGATCAAGTGCCTTTAGCAAGTTTGCTGATGACACTAAATTCTGTGGTTCAGTTGATACACTGGAGGGAAGGGATGGGATCCAAAGGGACCTTGACACATTTGAGATGTGGCCAATGCCAACCTCATGAGTTCCACGTGAAGTGCAAAATCCTGCACCTGGTTTGGGGCAATCTCTGGCACAGCTATAGGTTGGGTGGAGAAGAGATTCAGAGCAGCCCTGTGGAGAAGGACTTGGGGATGTTGATTGACGAGAAACTTAACATGAGCTAGCTTCAGTGTGCACTCGCAGCTCAGAAACCACCAGTGTGCTGGGCTGCATCAAAAGAAGCATGACCAGCAGGTCAAAGGAGGTGATCCCATCCCTCTGCTCTTGTGAGACCCCACTTGGAGCACAGTTTGCATTTGTGGTGTCCTCAACATAAGGACATGTTCATAAGGAGCAAGTCCAGAGGAGGGCCACGAGGATGATCAGGGGCTGGAGCACCTCTCATATGAAGACAGGCTGAGCAATTTGGGGCTGTTCAGCCTGGAGAAGCTGTGTGGAGACCTCATAGTAGCCTTCCGTTATCTGAAAGGGGCCTATAAGGATGCTGGAGAGGGGCTCTTCATCAGGGACTACAGTGATAGGAGAAGGGGTGATAGGTTCAAACTAAAACAGGAGCAGTTCAGGTTAGATATAAAGAAGAAGTTCTTTACTGTGAGGGTGGTGTGGCACCGGAACAAGTTGCCCAAAGAAGCTGTGAATGCTCCATCCCCAGCAGTGTTCAAGGCTTAGACGACATGGTCTGATGTGAGGTGTCCCTGCCCATGGCAGGGGGTTGGAATTAGATGATCTTAAGGTTCTTTCCAACACAAACCATTCTGTAATTTTATATATATATGTTTTTGTGCTAAATTTGAGCCATTGTTGAATATAAAATCATTTGATGTGACTGACTGGGCAATCTTCGGCAATCTTCGGAGTTATTAGATTAAACATAAAATTGGTGTTTCAGCATTTCTTTTAGTGTTCTGTGATAGTGAATACTGAACTGAACCAAGCAAAAAACTATCCAAAATGCTAGCTGCCTTTGTGTGTGTAGTATTTCTCACAATTAAGTTAGCAGGGTAGGACTAATGGCAGCCTTGGGGTGGGGGGAAGCAGAAGTCTTCTGGTGAACAAAGTATGTTCTGGCATTCTTTATGCTGAAACAACTCTTCTCCAGTCAAACCAACTTTGTGGTCAAATAGCACAGTGACAGGATCCTCCTAGGAGAGGGTTCATTTTTTCCAATGTGCATTTTGGGGTTGATTCTTACCCTAGGTAAATATAGTTGTAGAAAAGATTAGTGTTTTGAAACCATTAAATTACTGGTGTGGTGTTTTGGGGTTTTTTTTCCATTCCAAGTTTTGTTCCTGGGGATGTGCCTAAGAAACGTTTCACTCTAGATCTCTAGTTATCCATGAGCTTCTCTGTGCAGAGCTAATGCTGAGAAATAAGACTGAACTCTGTAAACCAGATGGAAGATCTTTCTTAAGTACTGTGTGTAGATGTTTCTTTTGATACATGGAAGTTGAAAATTTGAGATTGAGGTGTCACTTTTTCTTCAGATAATAGCTCAGAAAGCATAAGCATTTTGTATGACCAGTGCCACAGGTTAATGGCTGTCCTGGGTTCAGCAGTAGCAGTCATTTTTTTTCTCCTTCTTAGTAGCTGATGCAGAGCTGTGTTTTTGACTTTCAGCCTGGGAACAGCACTGATAACACCAATGTTTTTAGTTACTGCTCAAATGTTTAGTCCGACCAAGGACTTTCTGAGTCTCATGCTCTGCCAGGGAGGAGGGGAAGCCGGGAGGAAGCAAAGACAGGACACCTGACCCGAACTAGCCAAAGAGGTATTCCATACCACAGCACATCATGGCCAGGATGAAAACTGGGAGTTACCCGGAAGGGCTAGTTCACCGCTTGGTTGGGCTGGGTATCAGTCAGCACGTGGTATTGTATTCTCTTCCCTTATTATTTCCTTTATCATTATTATTTGCTGGTAGCAGTAGTGGTTTGTGTTATGCCTTAGTTACTGGACTGTTCTTATCTCAGCCTGTGGGAGTTACATTCTTTCAATTCTCCTCCCCATCCCTCCGGGAGCGGGGCAGGGGGAGGAAGGTGGGGAGAGAGAGCAAGCGGGCTGTGTGGGTCTGAGTTACAGACTGCACTTAAACAGTGACAATGGCCTACACAACAGGGCCAGCGAACAGGAATGACGATACTGGACTGTGATTGCATTAGCAATCTGTTTTTACCGTCCAAAGCAGCATGAAACAGCAACTTGAATGTGGTCCACAATAATTTAAGAGCACTAATAGGAAGAGAGCTGTTTAGTGGGAATGTAAAACTCATGTTCCTTCCTCCCTCACACATGAGCACAATTAGTGAACATAAGAAACTCTATGCATTTTATATAAGGCTGATTTAATGAGAAAGCTTTTAAATGCTTGGTTCAGATTGTATTTGTATCTAGGCAGTTTGCATTTGCAGGTATTGGCCATTCTCTGTAATTAAAGAGGAGGATGAGTCAGGTCAAAAGCATAATAGCTACTGGAAATCTGCAACCAGTAGCGCCATGCCTGATGAGACTGTGATCCTTGCAAAGGTTTGGTGTGTGACAGGCCTTTGTGCATAGACAAAAGCTGAATCTAGACCAAAGACTGTTAAGGGTAAGCATTAGACCCTAGTTGAAAGAGTAGAAAATTCAGGAACAAGGTATTTTTGGCAAGGATCAGATGAATAGACAAATGAAATCCTACATAAGCCTGTGTTTGAATTTCGTTGCCTCTCCTCACTTTCTGTCGCTTGTGGTTTTTTGCCTAAATCTCAGGTTATATTGCGCAATTGGGCTGTTCTCCTTCAGTTAAAATTCTGGTTTGCTTGTCGTGATTAATGCTGAAATGCAGCCCAACATTTAGGGATGATCACATGAGTATGTATGCTTTGTCCTGATGTTTTCTGCCCATGGAAAGCTGAGCCCCTAGCAAAGGAAAACTGAACTGAAACAAACTGAGGAATACTGAAATGAAAATTGTTAAGAGAGCTTGGGGTGAGAGGCAAAGAGGTAGAAAACGTGTTGAAATGCATTTTAGCCAACAGTTTAAACCTTAGAGCAATGCCATTTGTAGAAAGCCTAGAATAGTGCAGTCAAAATGTCTCATTGGATTGTTCTGGAAATGAGTTTGTTCACGGTAAGTGCTTTTAGGTTGGAGTTGTAGAAGACAGCAAATCCTTACTAGACAACCAAATGGTTGTATTGCAAAATTTAACTGGATTTTTACATACCACTCACATTGCATTTTTATTGACATTCACAAGCAAAAGTAGTTAATTTGCAAAGCAAACAAAAAAAAAAATCATTTTAAAAAGAACAAAAATCTTGCTGTAAAGATCATAAAAATATTAACTTAAAAGGACTATGCTGACAAAGTGTTTCTAAGTTGCAGAATCTGGAGAGTTACATGCTAGGCTTGAAAATAAGGTTTGGAATTTTCTGTCAACAGCAAAAGCACAAAGTATAACAAATGCAGTGAGACATTGTGTCCCTACCTAGCTAACCACTGAAACACTGTTCTGCGTGCTTTGTGTTAATGCCTGCTAACTATACCTTCAAGGCATGCCATCACAGCTCTCCAACTGAATCTGCTGTCATGGATCTGAGTGGCCTTCTATGTCTCCCCTACATTTGTGGCAGACAGTGGTGATCAGACAGCAGATATGTTTTGGGGAAGACAGTGGCAGGAACCTGGTACGTTCTAGTATGCCTATGCTGAAAGCAACACGTAAGAAGACTGATATGTAGCGGTGAGAACTGTCCTGAACAGTGGACTGAGATGACAGTTTTAGAAGCTGTGCAGGCTTCAAAGGGTGACAGTCTGATCCAGCCTCTTTCTCCCCACTAGCATGACTCGTTTTCATCAATCTCTATGGGGCTTTTGCTGTGGGAAGGAAACATAGAAGAAGAAATGCCATTCTCTAGTACAGGTCGCAGTGATGGCAGGCATCTTTCTTGTAAGATGGGTGCCTGAGCCAAGTGTAAATGAGTCTCAAAATAATCCACAGACTCCCCTTCTTGAGTCTCTGCTAAAATCTGGTAGTCCCCAAAACAAATGATGCACTTCCATGGCAGGTCGATTTTGTTTAAGTAACCCAGTTCTGTTTGGTCCACAATCAGTTTAGTTTCCTTGCTCATGTTCTTTATCTCAAAACAAAGTTCTGTGCTCTTCAGTTTCCCATACTACTGCAAGGAGAACTGAATTCGAGAAACGCCAGCATCCATGGCAGACATTAGAACCCCGGCCAAACTTGGCCATTTCACCTGCCCTGACCTGTTCTCGCTTACAGAAATTCAAGCAACGAAACATCATTTTGTCATCTTGACATGGGTGGTAAAAGGTCATGTGGAGACATGTTACTGTTTCTTCAGTTTCAGCTTCTTCAGAAGAGGTCATGATGAAATGAGTCCTCAAAACAAAGTAAAATCACAGCATGAAATCACTGTAGTACCAAAAGAACTGGCTTCACGGTGGCATTAAAATACGACTGTATAGTGACTATATATAATTTACTTTTGACTCTGAATGACCACTGGAATGAAGAAGTGAGAACTGAGCCTACCCACTCCATGATAACCCTCACTTCTCACCACTTTGCCAATGACTCTTTTGGTGACCTCAGCTCTGTGCTGAACTCCTCACAGCAGTTGACTGTGCAGCTCCTGCCTTGGCTGCACAGCACTTCAGAAACACACTCTGTGAAACACCCACTACTGTTAATTGGTGATGACTACTTTGTCATGAGTCTCGCACAGGTAGGTTTATCTTTGGCAGAAATATGTCACTTACAGTGACAGTAGTGTTTACATTATGGACTTAAAATGGAGTACTAAGTAGTATTGTCTGGGCCTGCACGCTCTGTTTTATGGTGTAGTCCTTTGACTAGAAGGTATCAGACAGGTGACTTCTACAGACAGAGTCTGGCTGCAGGCAGTAATATTTCAAATACGTATAAAGCATTCTTTTGGCTCTTTAGTCAGAATTTGCCTCTTGTATGAAACAAAATACAGTGTTTAGAAGTCACTAATGTGATAATATGTAAACTGAAAGCAAAAGCGGAATCGTCAAGACATAAAGGAGGACTTGTCACCAACTCCAGCTATTTCACTGTTGCCTACTGTTACATCCCAGCTATTTGCTACAGAAGTACTTAGCTAGGCAGTGAAAATAAAAAATAACTTTTGGGATTTGGTGGTGGTGTTTTTTGTTTTGGGTTTGTTTTGTTGGTTTTTTTTCCTTGTGTAAGCTTCTCCCATGCAGCACAGAGGTGCTTATGAACTAAATTCCTTTCTAAAGTCTGAGTATTTGCAATGTATCTTAATAAAATCTGAAAGGACAGATCACAGCGTTTCCTATACAAGCAAGTATTTTCCTGCACTGAAACTTGATCTAAAGAAAAAGCTACGTGCTTAAAGCAGGAACAAGGGAAGGAGTTCTCAGTTATCCACCAAAGCAGCATGTCAGCAGCCATTTAACTGAAATAAGACAGTGGAAATGTTTGTTGTGTTTCTCCTTCTAGTTTGCATGTTTCTGTTGTGTGTCACACAGATCCTGAGCTTTCTCACTAGCTCTGTTGAATGAATGATGCTGAACAGCAGCTACCACTTTAATCTTTTATTTGTGGGTAGGTGAGTCATCACTGCAGTTAAGTCTTCTGACTTGTGGGTTTTTTCAAGGCTAAATTATACCACTGTCCATGAACTCAAAGCACAGTGAATGGTGATATATCAGTGTATCACTTTCTGTGTGAAACCTCAAAATCCTTCTTACACCTTTAACAGAGTAACAGCAACAGTTCTGACGCAGGAGTGCAGCAACCTCATCTTGATGACTGAAGTAGGCTACAACAGTGCTTCTACCTAGCTTAAATGATTAGAGAAATAGAAAATGTCAAGCAGCTCTGGGAGCTGTCACTGGCAGGGACACGTTCCACTAGAGCGCGTTGCTCCAAGGCCAGTCCAACCTGGCCTTGAACACTACTAGGGATGGGGCAAGCACAGCTTCTCTGGCAACCTGTGCCAGAGCCTCACCACCCTCACATCTTCTTCCTAAGATCTCATCTCAATCTCCCTTCTAAATTCTTTCAAATGTTTTGCTCTTGTCCTGTAGTGACAGGTGCCTATCTTGTGATCCTGGGCATGCTGCGTGGCAGGGGCCATGTTGCCATTGTATCTCCCTTGTCCCAGGGCTTGTTCTCCTGGGGTGGCACAGAGGTGAACTGAAAACATCCTTCACTTGTTTGGGGATGTACACACAGAGGAGGAGGTTGGTAAGAGTTGGCTGCTGCTTTAGAGCCATAAAATCCAGGCTGGTGAATGTGTTTGTGTGTGAGTAGGTAGTGCAAGGCTATAAGAATATTCACTGCCTATACCTATAACATGTGTTGGGTTCAAATACCAACCCTCACACTCCTGTTGCTCTTTACCTTTGCTTCATAGCCGATCTCTTGATCCAAACCACGTTAGTACTATTGAGGGTACATGGGGAAGAGCCAGTAGGTGGCAATGTGTGACCAGACATGGGGAGCCACCATTTGATTTGGGGTTGGGTCTGAGGGTCTTTTTGTGGGTTTTGTTTGTTTGTTTGATTGATTGATTGATTGGGTTTGGGGGGTTTTTGTTTTTTTGTTGTTTTTTTTTTAATGTATGTCAGAAACTTTGTTTTGATATTGTGAAAGCTGTTGTGATACTTGTAAGTTAATGGCAATAATGGCACTGGTAACTTCCAAGAGTTCATTTGGGAAAGGTATAACAGAGTATGCAATGACCTATAGCTAGGTTCTGCAATGAGTTGTTATTACTGTACATCAATCAAGCGCCTTAATGTTCAAACAGAAAAGAAATGGGCCCTTCTTAAAGACATATGTATTCCAAAGATAGCAAGATACTCTTCTGGATCTCAGTATGAAAGGGAGGAGGGGTGCCTGGGAAGGAGGTACATTCACTGAACTTTGAGATACCAGTGCTAAGAACAGCTCCGCTCCATGAAGCAGAGAGGAGGTCTTCTAAAGGAAGAAGACAGAGTACAGTTCCTTCTATATTTATTTACTTCTTTGTTCCTTGTTTACTCAGGAAAAATAACTTTTCCATTTCCCATCTGACCTGAATGAACTCATGAGGAAGCTCACTTTGACTACTGAAGAGAAATATTTTCAACAAGATGGACTTTCTTCATCCCACTCTCTAAGCTCTTACTTTCTTTCTCTTTCTACATGATCTGCCCTTGGTCCTCTTCCTGAACCCCTCTGTCTGCTCCCCTTTGCTTCTTTCTTCCCTGTCTGCCATCTCAGTTTCTCTCCCATCTTCCTGCCCCTCTTGTTGTCTGTTGTTTTTCCCTCTCACCATCCTCCTAATTGTTTTTCCTATCCCCCCTGTCACTCCCTCCATCCTTTATTTGTTTTTTCTCAGTGACCTTTCTCCCTTCATCTGGATTCTCTTCCTTTCATCCATCCATCACACTGCCCTTATTTCCTCTGTCTTCCCAGTCTGCTTTTGCTGCTCAGGACTAGGCACCTGTGGAGTGACTTAAGGGACAAGTGAAACCATACAGTCACAGGGCATCAAGGAAACAAAACACAGGGAATACAATGGGAGGTGGAACAGACTAATCTATCTGTTGTCATGGCGCAGCAAGGCCCCATAGTGGGTCCTCAGCATTTCCCTCCTTATTCTGTTGAAAGAATGGCTGCCTTCTCTGTAAGTAACTGGTAGAGATCCAGAAAAAGAAAAGCACAGAAAAAGATGTTTAGAAAAAGAAAGCACATCATGGACACTGTGAAAAAAGTTGTTCCTTGTGACTTGGAGCCCCTTCCTCCTGACAGCTATGTCTTTAAAGGAAGGTTCATGCAGCTTAGTGGGAGAGAAGCTCCTGTAATTCTGGCTTTTGTGGGACAAGAAGCAGAAAAGAAGAGTGAGGAAAAGTCAGTGCCATATAGCAGGTGCTTGCTTCTTGCTCAAAATGAAACATAAATCATCCTTAAGCCCTGATACAAAAGAAAAATTGTCAGCTCTTCCCAGTTGTCTTTTTTTTTTTTTTTTTAAGTTGGAACAAAGCCTAGAGGTTTAAGTGTATTGAAGCATCATGTTTCTCAGAGAAGAGTGTCATAATCAATTTCAGTACAGCTGAAAATGAACAAATGATTTGTGCAACTTAGAAACATGCCAGGGATGAGTAGTCTGTGCACAGCTGCTAATGGTAGCTGTGCTTGCAGAATTCCCCTGTGTCTTCCTATAATAGTTAGAAAGCTGGGAGGGGCTTTGCTGGTGAGCCCTGCTGGAGTTCTCTTTGCTTCCCACTAACCCTGAGCACAGCTTTCAGTTGTTTATTTGGTGGTCACCTGGCTCTGCATGTGGAGATGATTTACCTGGTGAAGTTTTTCTCCCCTAGTTGTATGTCACTACAGTTGTAGCTGACATATACATCCTTCCATAACTGCTTTCAAGAAGTATGCAATTAATGTGTGAAATTTCCAGCCCTGTAGATACCCCGTGAGCTTTCTACATATGATCTATGCTATCTTTGTGATATCTCCATTTTTGACCTTAGATTCACAAGCTGAGACTGGACCTTATCAAGATCTTAAGAGAGGTCTGTGTTGCTGTGGGTAGCCCAGCATGCAGAGTGACACCTTGGCTTGAGTTCTGTGTGACAGAGTACATGCCAGGAAGTGGAAGCTCCATCTTTCATATCAAATCTCATACTGTAAATCTGCAGAGAGAAGACCTGATCTGGTGTATTAAAACCATTGAGTGAGTATTTATCAATATTTGTAATGTCACTGACAGACTGACCAGTAGGACACCAACTTAACCCAATTTGCAAGAACTGGAATGACAGTCCAGGTTTTCTACAGAGAGTACAGAAGAGGGAAGTGTGTTCTTCCTAAGTCATAACCCTTGCATTTCAGTTTGATGTTCTCTGCTCTTAGCTATTTCCTCATCTACAGAACCAAGCTGAGGAAGTTGCACTTTGATAAAGTGGCCAGATACTAGCAGTAATCAAAGGCATCACTATACAGTTTGGCTAGCAGCAAATGTTTAAAATGCTCTATTGGGAATTTATAAGGTTGTAACAATGATAAAATCTATTTGCTGCATTAAAAAAGAAAAGTCTGTTTCTCCTTGCTCTGAGGTAGATCCATTGGAGTGTAAAAACTGTGACAACTGATATAGACTCCCTTGAAATAGTTTGGCTGAAAGCAGAAGCTTCCCAACTTCAGCATTCTGTGGAATAGCCTCCATCATCCTTGTACTTCTTCACATTCGCCACACGAGGGACGATGTGCTCTTGTCTCCTAGGTATATAGTAGCAATTCCGAATGTGTCGGATTAGCAACATTTTGGATGAGGTATGGGTTTGGTAGCAAGGAGTTTATGCATTGGCTTCACCGGGACCAAGTTTTTACTGTAGAGACTGAATTTGCTCACTCTGTCCATTTAAATGGAGATAATTTCACGTGCACAACACAGAACGGACAGAACCAACCTTTCCAGCTCCCTTCAAAAGCAGAGACTGAACAAAGAATATTATTTTGAAAAGTTAAAGATAAGCACAAATGTCTTTTGCTCATACATAGCAGGACAAGGGAACATATCTGGCAGTTTTGTGTTGGTTTTTATTTTCCCTTTGAATATGTATGGATGTTAAGTTGTTAAAGATTCCACATTCTGTGCTGTGTGGCAATAAGAACTCTGTTCCATTATCTGAGTTTATAGCGTTTAAGGGCACCCAGCTGTGAGAGATGCAACCTGCCTTGGAGGTATATGACCCTTTTCTTTTTGTTTTCTTTAAAGATATATGTGATCCTGTGCTGAACTACTCTACCTCCTATGTCTTTATGTCATGGAGCTTGCTGGCACAGTGCAACACTATCTGGTTTTCCTCAGATGTAGGCTTTAATTGTAGTTTCTAGTGAATCAGTTAAGGATTTAAAAGTTATGAATTCTTGCTTTCTAGTTGGCATCCTAAAAACAAAGTGACCAAAAAATAGACCTGACGTAGATGTGAGCCTTGCTGAAATAAATGTGAGCCTTTCCACAGAAAGGGATCTAAAGTGGAATAGGAGTAGAAACAGAAGACAGGAGGGAGCCACATTTCAATAAATATTCTCACTTTGCATCTTCTGTCTCACTCTGGGTTATATCAGCTGTCACCCTTTCAGATTGAGCCACTGTAACCTGCTGTATTTCAGAATTGCTAGGCTGTGAGGGAGAGGATCTC